TCTTCCGCCTCGGGCGTCTGCAGCCTTGAATAAGGGCCAGAATCTTTGTTCCAGCTGCCCTTGGGCCAAGGCCAGGTGGGGCCCTGGGGAGTTGGGTGTAACGTGCACAACTGGTGAACCCTACTATGGGTTCCATTGGGGCTTCAGCATCTGCTCTGCCCTGGGGCTTTTCACAATCCTGCTTGGGGTCCAGCTGTATCTTTAGGGGTCTTCGTCGCTTTGGAAATCCGGCCCTACGCCCCCTAGCTCCAGCAACAGAGACTGTACCGTGGGGCCGGACTAGTAGCTGGTGCTTTCAGACTCAATCTCCTACCAGTGAGCACCCAAGAACCCCGCCCCTCTGTGTAACTGTGCCACTCTGCGGGTTGCGCATTGAAACGGGAGGCTGAAGGTCCGTGAACCAAAGGAAATTGCTTCCCTCCTACATCGTGGTGACACACTTTAACGCCCCAAACTAAACTCAGAGCTTCCATGCCCACCCGCACTCAGTTACGTTCCACCTAAGGCTAGACACAAAGGCAACAGGCCCTTCTCGGTGATCGGCCCCCATGTGAAATTACCCCTTGGGTGCTATACTTCAGCCTTTTGTAGGCCCTGTGCCCTGTGTGCCCAATGCCACTCTCATGTCTGCTCAGCTGCCCCCTACCCCAACAGCCCTTATTGAAGCTGGGAGTAGCCACAGCACAGTGGTACCTCAGCCACCGCCCCCACGCTGGAGGGCACGTGAGGTGCAGGGACTAGAACTGGCCTGCAGGCATGAAGCGTCAGCTGCCGCTAGCAACCGAGATGCTCTGCAGCCGTTCTACCTGGGACGAGGGTGCTAGACAGGGGCAGCCCCTTGCTAATGGTATCTCAGCCCTCTTTGTACGTGGCCCGAGAATCAAGCCAGGAGGGGGTTCCCCCACGGCGCCTCTGAAGCCTACACGAGAGAGCCGGGGTCACGCAGCAGGCCAGCAGGGCCCTGCCCTTCCGGGGGTCATGATGTTGCTGGGCCTTCCTCCCTGCCAAGCCAGATGCTCTCAGGAGGGTGTTGCCTGGGCAATGGGACTCTGCTTGTCTGAGGGGATCTGGGAGAGGGGCAGGGAGAAGCGAAAGGAGCAGAGAGGCATAAGTG